AAAAAAAAAAGATGAAAATACAATCTACGATCCGCTGCTACGGCATATCCTCGCGGAAATTGAAGCTTTGTCGCACAGAGTTGGGCAGAATTTGGTAGACACGGCGACGAGAGGATGCAAAAAAAAAAGGAGGAACGAATCTCCGAGCTTTGTTCTCTCGTGTTTTTCGAACGATTAATACGCTCTCGCTTTTTTTGCTCGAGTTCAAGAGTCTCGGGATGCGTAGCCTAACGATCCGATGTTTTCCACTGGTCGCTTTAATACGATTTCACGTGCACTCGGCGCACGTAGAAGCTACCGCGAATCGGATTTACTCGTCGTACTCGCCGGTGAAAGTAATTGCCAAAGAATTATATAACCCGAGAGAGATCGAGCCGCCGATACCGGCTGCCAACTGCAATCAGTGCTCGCATTAAACGGATCAACCGTTTATAGTTCACTGGCACACGCGGTATACTGACGATGTGAAAAAGCAATAATTAGACTGCGGATCTCTATGCGGATACAGAGTTGCTCGAGCGAATCCATCGAAATTGCAACCGCGGACGATCTTTCGCGCATTAAGGATTCTATTGCTTCGCTTCGATGTTATCTTTCAGTTAACAAAGTTAACAGAGGGAACAAGAATCGCGGAAGAATTTCTCGTCCCGTGGAAGCGCGCTCGTTCAGATTCTAATTTTGCTGAACAATGCTCCGTCGAGTCTTTCAAAAGTCTCTGCACTCTGGGTGGACGAAAAATCGCGGTAGAACCAGGCCAGAGGATGATTCTACACGGAGAAATAAGTCGAATTTGTTCAGATAAGACCGCATTTTCGAGATAAATAAAGATCCGGCAAGTAGAGTAATGTCTCCCTTACTGACGCTCAGATTGTCCACGAAAATGGACAATTTGGAAAGAGCAGATACGATTATCCGAGCCCTGTGGCTCGTTTTCATAATTGTTGACGATTTATAACCATAAAAACGTGCCGCAAGATTCGACTAATCGTATCTCCTCTTCCGAAATCGTCCATTTTCGTGGACAATCTGAGCGTCAGTAAGGGAGACATTACCTGTACAACGAGAAGTAGAATCGGTGTGCGATGGTCAGACGCGCCGCTCGATTCCTCTCCGATAGTATTCTCTTTTCAACCTTTTTTCCCTCGAAAACGGAGGCTTAAACGAAAAGATGTTATTCTTTCTTTTCGACTTGTTTTTGCACGTAGAATCATCCGGTGACCTGTTTAAACGCCAATTTTTCACTCGTTCTGTTCACGCGACACCGTTGTTCCAGAAGCATCTGGAACGCGTGCGAAAGAACCGAAACTCGTGATCTCGAGGACTATTCCGATTCGTTCGCTCCAGATTCCGGCGAGCTGCCCATCTCTGTCGCGGAGTGCCTCGTCGCGGAGCACGGTGCCGTTCGATCGGCCGCGAAATCGTTATCTCGGTGCAATCGCGGCGGCGTTCGCTCGAGGCAGTTCGATCGCGGAAACAGCAGAGCGTGCTCGCCGTTCGGACCCAATTAACGGCGCGGCCCGAACAATTCCGTCTTATCGGAAGCTCGGCCAATCAGTCTCCGGTGGACGTGACAGCCAGATACGAGCGACCAGTGTCTCGGTGTCGGCGCGCGGCCGCGTTACGCAAAACAGATCGTAGATCCGCGGCGAAACAAATCGCGCGCCCACGCGCCACCGTCGCCGTTCGCGAACGTATCGCGATGTTGTTCGTCATCGTTATCGGAAACGTTCCATCGAGCTATGTACCGCTCGGGAACATCCCTGGCGTTCGGCGGATTCGCCTAAGCGCGTGGACATCCGGTTCTTCCTCGCGAATCCGGTTCGACTCGTCCGCGGACGGTAATTTAACTTTTCGAACTTCTGCCCCGCGTCTTTTGTCGATTACATTCTCTACTGTCTCGCGTGGAATCGACGATCGACAGCCGATTATTGGCAGTCGGCGATCGTCGGTCGCTTCGCGGCAACCTCGATCCGATGAAAAGTGAAGAAACGAGCGAAATGGGTGCCGGTCACGACCCTCTGCCACGACCGATCACTTTCGAGTGATCTAAGTGTATTCGCTAATTGCGTCTCCTGCGTTCATTTCGTTCCGTTTCCCGTTCCGTTTGGGATCAGAGAACATCGCGATCATTGCGATCTTTCGACCACGGAATGCCCTAACGTCGAGTCGTCGGTGCTGTTCGACGCCGGGAAAATGTAAATTGAACGCGCACGATCGCGTCGCCGCCGTAATTGTTTTGCCCGCGCCGAATCAGAATCGAACATTCTCGTCTGAAACGTGTAACGACGGTCTCGCTGGACGCGTGCACGCGTCCGTAGCACGCGAAGGGTTAACTATAAAGCTGTGTTGAACCGTGTTGCACCGAACGAACACGAACGAGTCGTTCGTGAATGACGCGGCGAGCGTCGATTCCGGCCGGTCCCGGGAGAAAACGCGATCCGGTAACTACAACACGAGGTAAACTGCTGTCCTCCCTTAATTACCGCGCGTAATCGCGCACAAGTTCGCGGAACGCGAGACGAACGATTCGGCCAACAGATTCGAACGACGGGATCGATATAGTTCGCGCGTTTATAGGCGATGTCGCCGAGCCACGAGCTTTCGCATTCGGAATTGCGACGTCAAAGTTCGTGGAACGTTTGAAAGGCTCGACCTATCCAGGTAGATCATATTCTCTGACAGTTGACCTTCGCCTACCTGGCGGTGACCTTTGACCGAAAGTCGCGGAGACCTTTAGCCGTCGGTGAGCGACGGAAAACACTCGGCTAGAAATTGAAATTGAAATGTTTCGGGTAAACCGAGACGGGCGTGCCCCGCTTTGAAAATGGAGCTCCGGCCTCCTACGTCCACGAAATTAACCGTGCACGTCCGCTGCTTCCCCTATTTGCCAGCTGAATCGTGCTTGACAAGAATCGACTTTCACATCGAAAGGGAATTAAGCCGTGTCTCTTCTCTCGCACGATTACGATCCTATCGCCGAGTAACGACAGCGAACTCTTTCAGACAGAAACAGAAGCTCGCTGCCAAAAATTCTGGGCATTTTGCGCTTCGCGCACTTCTCCGCTCTGTGCTAATCGTCAATTCCTTTGTAACCAATAACGTATTAAATGTGTGTAGCGTCTGAAATTTCGCGTCGATCGTTACGCGATTAAATCCGCGCTATAGAAAGGCTTGCGAATCACGTTAACAACGAACAATAATATCTTCGCAATCGAAGGAGAATCGTGTTAAACGGACTTCTCTCGCTGTCGATTGTCCGTGCATAGTATTCGTTTAGGCTCGACAGACCGCGTTACGAACGGTCGGCCGACCAAAATCAAGATCCTCTCGTAGCTCGGACGATCTCTCCGCAGCTCGAACAGACAAATTGCGGACGAGCAAACAGGCGTTTCGTCGCTGTTCGGTGTCGTGCGACGCTGTTTACCGTTCTCTCTGAAAATAAGTCGATTAGTGGGGTAGGTCCGTCGCGACGGAGGACGGATGCGGTGGGAAAGAAACCGAATCTCGTCGACGGAGGAAGGAGTGTAGAACCAGGGAAAAGCTAGCATCCTTCGAAGCCCTCTCGAGCGTAAAACTTCGCTGGTCAAGCGCCAAGCGCTCGCTTCGACACTCTCTCTCTTTAGATCGTAGATCGACGATTCTCGAACGGAGGTCGTGGCTTTCGACGAGCGAGACGTGGAACGCGTGGCAAACTCGAAATCCGCGACCGAAATTCGAGCGACCGACCGTGATTTAATTACAGGTCTCTGTTCCGCGTCCCTTCGATTCTTAGTTCCTGGACTCGCCCAGACAATCCGGGAATTTATTACAGGACAACCGGACGGTCGAAAGGGTCTGAACAACTCGCTGCATTGTATTCAGGTATGATTCGACGTCGTAGACGAATTTTTGATGCTCGATTGATGCGTTCACAGCAGGCGGCGTCGATGAGATTCTTCGCGAAAAGCTGCGATACGCGCGAATCTCTGTCGAATCGCGTGAAGTTCAGTGTCGAAGATGATTCTTAACGTGTAAGATCGTTCACGGAGTCTATGTTAAAAATTTAAACAACTTTCGTCAACAGTATCTTCCTCTTTTCCCAATGTTTCCGACCGTCCGCGAGATTTCGCGCGTTTCGCAGCTTTCGATCGAGAACGCTGTCATCGCCGCCCATCATGAGCAGCATTCAAGATAAAAAACAGCGTAGAACGTCGAATCGGTGCCCTAATAAATTGCAAGGAGCTTTTCGTCGCCGCGTCGACCAGAGCCCCGCTGTAATAAATTCCAGAACACGGGGCTGTCCGCGAATACGCTGGGAGAAGCAACGGCGCCGAAAGTAGTTCTTCATCAGCCAGAAACGTTCGCAATTTAATTAAGAGCCCGAGCACCGAGTCCCCGGCGTCCACCGCGATTATACAAATTAAAATGCCCGTCTATTTACATATAAAACAGAGGCGTTGAAAATACTGCGAATTATATCGCGGAAGGTATGCGTTTAACGTTCGGCCGCGAAGAACGGCCGCCGTTCGGGCAGGAACGCGCGCGGTCCGCGAGCCAAAAATTACGGTCGCGCGTGAAACAGAGACCTCTAATTTCGGTGGTCGGCTCGTCGGAAGGAGTTTCGCAGAAACCGGAAGAGCCGGTACTCCCGAAAGCGCGACAGAGAAAGAAAAAAGGCGCCGTTTCGCGACGGCTGCACGACTGACGAATGGACTATCTTTCTCCGGGATATCAAGCTCGGTGTCGGACATGTCGGCGTCTCCATCGTGATCGTGCCCGACGTGTCGTTAATATCGGTTTTTCTCGTTTTCGTTTTTTGCTTTTCGCTTTGCTTTTCTTCGCTTCCTGTATGTGTGTGTGTGTTTCTTTTTTTTCTCACTGGTAGGTTTCAGAGTTCTTTCTCTTTTTTCTCTTTTCTTTTTTTTTTTTGTTTGTTCGGTCTTTTTTCTTGTTGGTCAAAGGGAGAGACTGGAAGGAACGGCGGATATAAAACAGAAAAACGAAAATATCGATGTATTCACCTGTTGCGTTTTCGCCGCTGGGCCGGATACGGGCGTCGTACCGTCCTGGTCCGAGAATGTCGTCTAACACGTCCTTCTCCTTCTCCCGAAAGTTTCTCTCCTTCTCCCGCGACATACATCTGGAACCAGGTGCGAGGGGATTCGTGCGAAAGGTGTAACAGGGCGCGTTCTTCATTCATCGCCAAGCCCCGGTGTCTCGCGCGCGAAAAAACGAACGACGATTCTTCGCGGAGAAACGGCTCGAAAAAGTGGGAAACAGAATGGTCCCTTCATCTTTTCCTTTCAACCGGGCCCGCTTTGAGACTGTTGGCACTTGACACTTCCACGACCGAAGCCTCGAAAATGTCGTGGAGTTCAAGTATTTCGTTCGATTAAACAAAAATCACGAAGCAGACTTGTATGGCATCGATCGCTTCCTCGACCTCTTGCAAATCTTAATCAAATTAAGCAGTCGTTTTTAATTAGACGTGCAAGATTTCCCCATTCGATTGGCATAAGCGTTAAGGTCGCGGTAATCCGACCCTTCTGCTTCGAAAATATTCGAACGCGAAAATATCGAGAGCCAGATCGGCGGACGGTTAAATACAGTGGCAAAAGCGAGACAGTAACAATTTCTGGAGAAATAATTTGTATCCTCGATTCGGTGTCTGACCACTGCTATAAGTTTCCACTTAGAACGTGTGAAGCGCAAGCACGGTGCCGATCTCGATTATTCGAGCTAATTAAGAGAACGCGAGCGTTCGGATAGCAGAACAATTGCTAGAGTAAATCCTGGCCGATTTCGACGATGAATAGCGTTGCACACGGATCGCGATAAATTGTGCTGGTCTCGCGTGAAATCTTTTCGATCGAGGTGTCGATCGTATCGAGTGTTCGAAGCTGATCGTACCTCGAAAAGAAAGCGCGAAACAGAGAATTTCGATTCCACGTTTCGGGCTTCTTTCGTCGCGAAGAATCGCCGTTCGGTTTTCGTACTTTGGTCGGAAGACACCGGCGCATTGCAGCGCGGATAGGGGCCTACTCTGTTAAAGATCGTTTGCAAAAGCGGTGCTACGTCGCGATAATATGAAAATGTATGTAATTACAGCAGTTCGCGGGGGATAAAAGCAGCCGCGCGACGCGTCGACGTGAACGAAAGCGAAGAATAATTGTCGATCCGATTCGCCGGCTTTCAAAAGAGAACGCATTGAAAACTCGTGATCGCAGTCGACAAAAAGACAGAAAAAAAAACAGCGAAAGAAACGTCTTTCAAGAGCCGCATTTACAACTTGCAACGACCGCGTTTCTACGTAACGATCTGCGTGCATGCGTTCGGAACGTTTTTCTTTTCTTTTTTAATGCTTCATCGATGGACGTTCTTTCTCGTTGGAATACGGCCGCTTAAGAACGTGTACCGTCGGTTTACAGTTTAATTATCGGCCGCCGTTGAACGAAACGAAGAGGAACTTACCTTAGCGGATGTTGCAGGAAAATTATTAACAAGAGTAACTTCAATGCTCCAGGCCACATTGCGGTAGCCTGCAATCCAAAAATAAAAGCGTACCATTATTGCGAGCTCGTAGACAGAGTTAAATTTGTATTCGTTACGCTTTCTATCGCAAATGCCGTGCCGTCGCTTATCAAAAGAGAAACGGCAAACATATTTCTACGCCGTTATCGCCGTACAAACGCGTCAAACCTTTCCTCTTCGACCGCATCGAAACGCGTCGCGTCTCGGATCAATCAGAAGACGAAACTTCGTCGGTCATTCGAAAAAAAGTGGCGACGCGACGAACACCAGAAACGCTGTCACGTGGCAAAATCGATTCATTCGCGCGAACGGAAAAAGTAAGTAGCGAATTTTCATCGAATTTCCTCTAACCCTTTACATTAATCAGGATATCCTTTCGAGGTGGAATATCCTCGCTTCCAGCAATCGGTATCGACACAATTTTACGGGAAATCGTTAATATTAATTATTCTGTACGAGAGATCACGACGAGCCGCTGGAACGATAATTTCGGGAACGAGTTGCCGAAAATTTGCCGAACAGTTCGGAAGCGGAAGTTTCCGGCGGGAATAACGCTATAAGCGATCCGCGGGTTTCGCGAGAACGGCCGGGGCGCAATTCGTAGCCGGCAAAAAGAGCTATGGAAACGAGGTAGACGAGGCAATTTCGCAACAGTGTTCGACGAGATCCGGAGAACAACGTTTGCCCGGGCTCGGCGCGGTTTTATCGGAGCGTTGATTAAAGCGCGATGGGGATCGAATGGAACGGCACGTACGGTTACCATTTTTTCTTTCTCTTTTTTTTTTGCGCGCGCGGGCGGCGAAACTGAAACTGAATCCGCGTCGGCTTTATAAATATCTGCAGCCAACCGGTGCCCGACGGCTTCGCGCGATCACGCGAGCAACCTTCGTCGAAACAGAAATCGAACGAGTTCTGGCCGTTCGTGTCTCGCGTGTTTGAAGCGACGCCAAAAGCGCAGATGCGGATCGCGGATAATGAACGTCCGCGTAGGAATTTCAATTGTCCAGTCATAAACAACCGGGAAATGCGACTCGGGCCGCCGTTTTTCAGCAGCGGCCGGCGAAATTAGACGGGAACGACCGTTCGCGGCGTAACAATGACGGTTGTAAACGTTCACCGCCGCGGAACGAAGCGTTTCCCCGTTATTTTTCTTCCTCTTTTTTTCCCCTGCCGGGAAGGACGCCGTTAATGAATTTTTCATTAATCTTTCGGCTTTATTATTGGCCGCGGCACGAGGCCGTTATGTCCCCGGGAATCGCCGGGAAATTGCCACGTCGCGTGGAAGCCGCAGTTCCGGCGAAAAAAAGCGTGGACTAGATTTTCGCGAATGACGTTGGCCACCGGGAATTTTCTACCGGGAAACATCTAAATGATAATGATTCTGCGATAACGCGGACCGTTCGTCTCTATCAGAGTCCCGGTTTCGCGGAAAAATTCGGAGAATTTTCTCAGATCGTCCAGAACAATAACTCCAACGTTAACTGCAACGCGTCGGTAGCATTGTATTATATTTACAGCAATGTCTCTCTAATTGACGCTCGGATTGACAAAAATGGACAATTTGGGAAGAGGAGATTCGATTATTCGAGCCCTGCGGCACGTTTTTATACTTGTTGACAATCGATAAACATAAAAAAACAAACATTTTTGATGTCAAGTATCAGGACGTAAACAATAATTTAACTTTATATATGTTTATTACAATGTACCAGTCAAAATAAAAATATTTGTTTCTATGAACATTGATTTTGTTTTTGTGGCCCACCTAAAGTTAAGCATTGTTTATTTGGCCCAAGTTAGCTTTTGAGTTTGACACTCCTGCTGTACAGTAATGTCTCCCTAACTGACGCTTTTGTGCACCGATGTGCACGAAAATGGATAATTTAGGAAGAAGAGATGCGATTATTCGAGCCTTGCGGCACGTTTCTATAATTGTTGACAATTCGTAGCTATAATAACAAACCGCAAGGCTCGAATAATCGTATCTCCTCTTCCCAAATTATCCAGTATTGTGGACGATCTGAGCGTCAATTAGAGAGACATAACTGTATTCCGTAAAATTCGCTGTAAGATCGCATCGATGCAGACTTCAAGAAACAAACATTTTCCGCTGCGAAAGTCTCATAATTTTCAGAAGTCTCGTTACGCCTCCTGTGCCGAGACATTCGCGTGCAGCTGGTTAATTTCGTAGAACAATGGAGCGCTTCGACGTTAACAATTTGTCCCGCCTGATTCGCGAAAGCTGCGCGAATTATTCCGGCGTAGAACGATTCCGTAGATTCTCGCAAATGCGACGCGGGCACCAGTCTCTGACGATGTTATAAACGTTTGCACATGTCGAAATAACGCTTCAAAGGGGACAATTTCCCGTCGCGGCGCAGGGAAATTCCCTCGACTTAAAAATTTGCCCGTTCGTTCCAATAAAGGCTACAATTAGGGAGGAACATCGCGAACTTTTAGCATTTCATAAATTTCTCCTCGACACGAACCTCGAGCCCCGTCAAACACTTTGCACACCGTCGACTGTGATCTAATTTATTTTCAACTTTCGTCCATTTAATTTGCACGCAAATCATTTTCTCCGGTGATTAAATTAATTTTAATTGCACGCTTCTTGCCGGAGTTATATAGCGGCCAGCGGGAACTACGATATTCATTTCCGTAATTCCGCATTCGCGTTAATTAGCGCGGTCCTCCCGCATTCCGGCGTGTTACACGCATAGTTTGCCCGTACCTTTTTCGATCGTATTAAACAAATATCGGGGAAAGCTTTGGCACGAGAGAGAGAGAAAGAGAGAGACACGGGAAATATTTTGTGACAAGCTTGGCGACTTCCTAGAACGTTCTCGTTAATGAAATGAAAATTGCACGAGCCGACACTTTGTCGCAATCCCCGTCTCGTACGAGCGTACTCGCGGCTCGTGGACTTTCGCCAAAAATTCATTAAATGTTTCGCTATAAATAATGAGCCCTGGCTGCCGCGGGAACAAGAATCCGTCGACGGATCCGCGCGTGGCCGATGCGTCAACCGCCGGGCGCTGAAGCAGAATCGACAGAGTTTATTCCCCTCTCTGGCTGTCCGATTGCTCTGTCGAGACGAAAATCGTTTTCCCGCATTAGCCCCCGTTTCCGGCAAATTTCGAAGGAAAAATCCAATCCCTCGCCGATCTTCCCGCCGTCACAGCGGAAGCTGTGCGCGCGATTTCTACGTAGAACGATTCCGTGGACTGTCTCTCTCTCTCTCCTAAACGCGACGATATATATATATATATTTCTTTCTAATATCATTTATATTAATATTATTCGCGCTTCTTTACGATATATCGTACATAATTCTCGCGGCCGTAATTATCGATCGAACAACATCGAAACGGACAACGGTGCAAACATAGTTGAACAATATTGTTCAAGTAAAAAGCTATTTTAGTCGACAGCGAGGCCGCGCGAGATGCGACGGCGAAACGAATTTCTTCCACTCCAAACAAAATGTTAATTACAAATTCGATTACGATCCTTTAATAAATAACGAACCCGGTACGAACTATTTATCCGACGTCGGACCGCTGCGTTCGGACGAACCGAGCTCCGTGGCCATTAGCCCCGCGATTTTTCTCCGCGGTTAATTAAAACTTCCTTTGCCGTCGACGATTCCGCCGCGGCAGAAATAAAGCATTTATTGGCCGTCTGTTTTTTTTCTTTTTTCATCGCAAGCGGAGCCCCGATATCGCGGGACGAGGTAATCAATCCGAAGGAAAGTGGACCGTTCGCGCGACCCGGGAACAGTATTACCATAAAATCTGATTTGATTGCCTCACGCATCGATCGTTCTAACGGCCGGTTAGCAATCGCGATCGGCGAACGCTCACGATAAACCGTTAAATCTCAATCGGCGCTCCGCCGCCGTCTATCTGTTCCGGGCAATTGACATCGGATGCCATAAAAACCGTGCGGAACGTCGCTCGGGGAATTTCTAGAACAATTTCCGCGGGCCCGACATTATCGTCCGATTAATAATTCCGCGCGAGCGTATTATCCGGGAGGGGAACAAATAAAACCGTCGTTCGCCGAGGAAGAAGCGGTGACCCGCACGGTATTTAAAGCTCGGAACTAATTTCTGCCCGCCCGGCGACAAAGGGAGCGAGATAGAGAGAGAGAGAGGAAAGTTCAATTTGCATAATACCTGTAAACATTTCACGACCGACGACGCCGTCGCCGCCGCAGAAGTTACACTCGCGGCGCGGCCACGACGAAGGAAAAACATTCCGCCGCTCGCGCGCTTATTATTTTTATTTCGTTGATATATTTCCGGCCGGAGGCCGAGAACCGAGGAACAAAAGCCGTTCGATGTACCCGTCCAGGGCTCCAGATGCGGCTGGCGAATGCGTTGACCTGTTCTACTTGCCGCGGAGCCCGATGCACCAGCACACAATGGGCCGCGAAACGAAACGAAACGAAATTCGCGCGTGGCCGCGAGTCCGCGCGAAGAGGAACAAGAAAGCCGCCGCCGCCGCGAAAGTCGAAGAACGATCCTTGTTGTCTGCACGGTCCGCGGATTATCAATCGGGAAACGAGAAACTGGAGAGCCGCTAATGAGAGCCGCGGCGGTTTCGTTTCGGCTCCGGCCCGTGAATCGGCAGCGGCGAGGACGCCGCTCGATAAACACCGGCGGATCCCCTTTGTTAATTATTCAAATGAGAACCGTTTGACTTAATAATTAATAACGTGACGAGCTGCATCTCGAATGGGGTAAACATACGCGCGCGCAGGAGACGACGACGACGGATTGCGAACCGGAAGCTTGTCCCCCACCTCCGCACGGGTATTCCGCACGTTTGCTTTGCCAATTTCGAGGGGGAACGATTAACAGTTCGGCGAGCGAGGAAATTATGCCGCTGTGGGATTCGAACGAGGACGTTACCGAAAGAATCTGTCCTCCGTTTCGCAGGACCTTTTCGAAGAGGCGCGATTATCGACGGAGATTCGGTTCGCGCGATTCTTTGGTCGAGAAACGTTTGCCATCTATGGCGATGCTGGAGATATTTGTGCACAGTCCGCGCGCGTCTGAAGAGTACGGGACGAGCTTGTTAACGAATGTTAATTGTGCGACGGGTGCAGGTTCGTCGCTGGATCGTGGATCATTGTGCAAAATGAACATCTAAATCGATTGCAAGCCACGGGAACCGAGTAACAGTATTAAACGTTCTTCTGTCCCGAGTTCCGCTTCTCAACGTAATTTCGAAGCTGGAATGTTATTTCGCTCGCAGGTGAGACCGATTAATAACTCGTTAATATCGTGCCAATACGCTTCGTTTAACATTTTTCTATTTGAAATTCGACGTTGCGGTTCAGACAGAATTTATTTCACCGTGGAATCATAGATAAATTGTCATAGATGTATATTTAAACGATTCGGTTATATTGTCAGACCGTGGATTTTTATGCATTTCGTGCGACGCGCGAATATTTCAAATGCAAGGGAACGTATAAAATTAACAAGGATCTAAACCAGGGGTGTCAAACTCGCGGCGCGAGATGAACATTTTTGCGGCCCAGTCGATATATCCGACGCAAAGTAAAAATAAAATAGAAATAGTCTCTCGGCCAATAAAATTTCTCCCGAAATAGGAAAGATAGTATCAGAGAAGAGATGTCAAGCATCAGGACGTAAACAATAATTTAACTTTATATATGTTTATTACAATGTACCGGTCAAAATAAAAATATTTGTTTCTATGAACATTGATCTTTCTTTTGCGGCCCACCTAAAGTTAAGCATTGTTTATTTGGCCCAAGTTAGCTTTCGAGCTTGACACCCCTGGCGTGAACGATCGTCTTCGTAATACTGCAACTGCAACATCGTCGCACACAAGAGACGTATACAATGAAGACGAGCTGTTCGAGAATTCCTACGCGATTTATCCAACGTTCGAGCACGGTTAGTGCGACGAGAACGAAACGGCCCCGTAACGTAAATAAATACTTCGTGTCGCATTTATTCGATTAAACAACATTCGATCTGGCCCAGGTCCCAACAGATATTTACCTAAAACAATGCTCTCAAAGCGGAACATTCTTGGCAGATGTTTGACGTCCCGCTCGCGACACGCTCGAACTGGTAAGAACTTCGCTGCGCGCGGATACTCGGCCGAATAATAACAGGCTAAAATTAACCGGCGCAAGAGTTTCCCAAAAAAAAAGAGGACACGAATTTCACGTCGATCGGTTCTCGAACATGGGCTCGCGATTAAAGGGTTAATTGGACCACGGGTAATAAACGGAAATGTGCAACGGTGTTGCGTCGTCGGGCTGTACACGGAGCCGTGACGAGAGAGAGAGAGAGAGAGAGAGAGAGAGACGCTCTAACAGCGTCGACAGGACCGAAAAGGCGAATGATTGGCTGCGTCCGGACAGTACCGCGAATTAGGTCAGTGTTGGTGTGTACGTGGGAGCCGTGTTTGTGTTCCGATTCCTCGAGAGTGCTCAAGCAAAGGGCGAACAAATTTCTTCGGCAAACAAATCCTCGATGTACAAACGTGTTTTTAAGTAATTGCTTTCGCCCGTCCTCCCGCGCCTACAACCCCCTTGTCCTCACCCTCGTGCCCCCCCCCCCCCCCCGCCCCCCCCCCACCCCCCCCCCCCCCCCCCCC